AACTTCATTGATATGATAAATAAAACGTATAAAAGTGTTTTAAGTCCATTTTTAAAACGTATACGTTGCCAGGACTATAAGTCTCAATATATCATGTTATAAAGTTTGACATTCTGTTTAGTTTACATCTAAAGCTGTGTCGTTATCGTATTTTGACAACAGTTTCATTGACACATGGGCTCTCGGCGAAGCCCCTTTATATTTTGTTCTTGTATCAACATTTTTCTGCATGAAACAATTCTATTCATGTGATTCTGCTCTCCTGCTGGGCCAAACGGGGACATGTAATAGGGCAAAAGAGCACCACAGGGAGTGTCTAGTTCTGTGAAGATATGCTCATTGGGAACTTGTTCGGCTCAGAGACAAGACTACAAACATGAATGGAATATTTATATATTTGTTCAATATTTAATAAAACTGTGTCGCACAGATGTTTTCTGCTGTCAGCTGGATAAGCTCATCCTCCAGGATTGAACGGTAGCAGTGACAGTGAGAACGTGACTATAGGCTGCTGGGAAATAGAGGAGGGAGCTGTGGCTGTTGCTTGTACATCTCTGGAAAAAAGAATACTTTGGATTTGTGTATGGGCTATTAATAAGAAAAATATGATTTCATTCAATTCAATTTTATTTGTATAACGCCAAATCATAATATACATTATCTCAAGGATCTTTGCATAAAAGGTCAAGACCTTAAAAATGATAGAGAAACAGTTCCCACAATGAGCAGCACTCCCTCATTAACTCGAAGAAACCTCCAGTAGAACCAGACTCAGTGTGGGTGGCCATCTGCCTCGACCGGTTGGAGTGAGCAGAGAAAAATGGGGAGGAGAGGAGAGATATAGCAGCTTTAATAAGTTTTGATGTTTTAAAGTAGAATTAAAGTAAAATAAAATCATTTCAGCTCAAAGCAGGTGAAGGCTGCAAAGAGCCTCAGGTGGGTTTGTAGTACTGTTGGGTTTTTTGTTGTTGTGAGGAGTCATTTGAGTCGTTAAATCAATAAAAGGATAAAAGTATTTAATTAATGTAGACGTTTAGACTTCGAAGACGACAGAAAGACTATCATCAGCAACGGCCTCGACAGGGATGTCTAAAAAATGAGCAATTGAATGAAAGAAAACATTCAGTAAGAGAAAGTCCCTG